TACCTATTCACAATGGTGATTTTCTATAGTTATGTCAGTTTACCAGAGGGTAATTACCAGAGGGTAAGACAAATTGTTGGGATTGTTGGGAAGAAAGGGCCGGAAAATGTAGTGAACTGATATTCGGATGACAATGTTTTAGTGGTTGCAGCTGCTAAACCAACTTGAACCCACAAATTGGTTAGGAACTCAAAAGATGAATTTCATTTTAATACACGTGATGACATGATCATGATTGACTTTTCGGTATCCTAAAGACTGCAACAGTTGCAACGCTATTTCTGACTTTGAGACTGGAGGGACACATTTATAGAGGCATATGGTCCCAGCATCAAAGCATATCAATGCAACAAAAAAACAAAATTTAAAATGGTAACTGAGTTCCCAACAAATTGGTAACAATTAACATCATCAAAACCATTTTTAATTTTAATTGAAATTGTTTTTCATCATCAACAAATTGGTAACTGAATTCCCAATCGCACAAATTTAAGTTGCGTGAGTTCGTTCTGCACGACAGGAGACGGAAACAAGTATATACATACCTCAAAGCAACTCCAGTGAATGTCACAAACTTAAGAATGCATCCCAGATCGTAGGGTATTAGTTTGTAGGGGTTGGTCCGTTCATGATTTTCAGGAATGCCTACCTGATCTCAGAAATGCCTAGGTGATTTGAAAATGACATAGGCATTTCTGAAATTTAGGTAGGCTAATCTGAAATTTGGTAGACTAATTTGTTGTCCAGAACGTTGTGCAAACAAATGTGGTTTCATATTTTTTACAAAATATTTTAAAAAAGACAAAATATTTTCAAAAAGATAAAATCTAAAATATGGTAAAACGTTGATTGAACGTTTACCTGCGGTTGTGTTATTATTGTGAAGACCTCACCTGCGTGAATTGAATCATGTCGTTGCTTCGATCATGTGTGTGACTTGTGTCAATTTTGTCAATTGAACCGGTCAATTCTGTCAAAAATTTAATTTTAAAAAAAATGTCATTAAAAAAAAAAAATAAAAAAAAAATCACTAGGCAAGAAATCATGCCATGCCCAACATGCTTTGACCCAAGCATGCAGAAACACAAATCGACAATTGTCCAAGTGGGCAAAAGAATGAAGATGAGAAGCTGAACTCAATTAGTCAGTCAGTCAATTGTTTCAAGTGCCACAATCATAATCAGCTGAAGTCAATTGATCCAATTGCCACTTCTCGCCGAGCCTTGCAAGCAAGTTATTAAGAATTACTTTTGAAAACATTTAAAATGCAAACAGGACCAGCAACAAACAGTAGGCAGGCCTAGAGCGTCATCCAGACCTGATCCTGGGTCTTGCTTTGGGAATGCGAATGGGAAGTGATATTAATAATAAATGTCAAAGAAGTCAAGCATGCCTGCATTGAACTCTTGAAGGTAGCGGAGCAAGCTTGGTAGCGGAGCAGAACAATTCCAACCTCAGTACACATATTTGAAGTATTTCAAAAAGCCAAAGGGCTAATGAGTCAATTAAATTGACTGAAGCACATGAGATGGCAACGCTGAACTTGCAGTGCTCTGTCACTGATTGCGCATTTTTTTTGCTGGAGCAAATGCCATGTTGCCTCTTGACCCCACAGAGACAGTCAAAGTTGACCGAGGGACGCACCACTCAAAGTCAGAACCCTTGGGCTATAGTACTCTTGTCGCATTCAAGACACTGACTGACAGTTTGAATGGACAACACTGAGCAAATTGAGCGTTGTGAAGTTTTCACGAAGCTCGAATCTGCTCGTAGATTTGGGCGACACAAGCGCCAAACTCTGGCGTGTAGTGCTCGCTTTCGATGAGCATCTCCTTATTGCCAGTGTAAGTGTGGCTTCCATCCCAGCTCTGGCCACTGGAAGCCAAATTGTCCAAGCCATCTGGCCTTGGCCTGGCGATGGCTGCAAATAGGGAGCCAGGCCCTGAAGACGGATGCCAGATCTGGAGAGGCTTGCTTGTTGGGCCAGCAAAGCTTCCCATGTAGGTCACTGTCTTCTTGAAGTCGAAGAACCACAAAACATTACGAAGGGATGGTAGTTTTGGAAGCACACTCCCTGTGGGTTGCTCCAACACCGGAATGCAATCCAAGAGGAAACTGAAGAACATCATCATTGCAGTTACTTCCTGTTGAAGGTTGCCCTGCTCCACCACGCTCCACCCATGGCCTGCTTCTATCCCCGTAGAATGAATTCTCCTCGTATCTCATGCTTTGAGAGATACAGAGCGGGACGAAGCTCGAGCATCTGGTAGCAAACCAGTGTAACGACTTTCGCCGAGAAGCCACTACCATGTCAAACCAAGTCCTCAGCCCCTTGGAACTCAACATGTCATGGTGGGGATGAAAAAGAATGTCCACAGAAGCTCCTTGGTGAAATCCTTGACGCAGCATCTCTCGACTGAGATGGGCTCGGCCAGCACAAAACTCAACAAATTCCAATTGATCCAATTCATTGAAATTGACCAAATTGAAAAGAAACCTTTCAGCAACCAGCACCATCATCTCCAAGCACGATGTTGCGCCGCGCAAAAAAGGATATGCTTCACACAAAAATGAAGGCCACACTTTCGAGGCCCTGCCGCCATTCTCTTTGTCAAAATCAAGAAAGTCTTGACATGTGGACTTGACATGATGCAGTCCTTCTGGCCAGTAGACACGCCTGCAGGGCAATTAACAAAATGGACTTCGAGGTTATTCATTGATCATCAAAGAATGATTCAATTTCAATTTCGATGCATGTTGTCTCAATTTTCCAAGAACAAAAACAGCATCAGCGCCTATTGAATTTGCTGCAGGCCAAGAAATCATAGAAATCTAACGAAGAAATCTGTTGGAGCTTGTCATCCAGCCATTTCTCTTGATCGTCATCTTCTGAAGCTGCACTTGGGCCTTGAAGGCTGGCACTGGCTGTCACAGTGGACAGCACCATCACCGGAAGAAACGCGAGGCCAGCTTGCTGGTCCATGATGAACAAATTGACACAAATGACCAAAATGGCAAAACCAACAAATGTGCTCATGGGCCAAAAAACCTGCGGTAAAAGAATTAATCCAGTCCACAATTTTGTTTGGTTTCGAATACCAGTCCAAGGCTTCTGACCATGCGTATAAAAGTAAAGGCTTCCTGAGTCCTTGGCCTGATGATGAATCTGGCAGCCTGCATTGGCATTGAAAGACCATCCCGGCACAAACTTCAAGCTTCAATACCACTGGCCACTACACAAATCAATCTGGTTCAAGTCAATTGAGTCAATTCGCACTGACACATGACAAGCAGGCCCCAACATTTGACAAAGCATTGAAAAATACCATCCAGGTGCAACCCTCAGGCTATAATACCACACAAATCAATCAATTGAGTCAATTCACAATAAACACAAGCAGACCCCAACATGTGACAGGATTATTTGATTCCTTTTTAAACAGAGCATCTTCTTGCGATTTTGCAAGTGCATCAGGTGAAGGACTTGCTTCAACCAGAGCGTCTTACCAAGGCCCTAAGGCGATGACTTTGTCATCCCAGCGCTCTTCTACTTTCTCCTGTTATTATAATTCCTAGGAGGTGGCAGCGCACTCATCTCATCCTTGAGGCCTTCAAAAACTTCATCTGGGACTTCTCCTGGAATTTGATCTCGGATTCCAGGCCCCAATTCCAACCCAGCCAAGACAAACTTTTCCCACATCCAAGTGTGCACTTCTTGAAGTGCGGTTTTCCAGTCACCTGTTGCTTTGAAACTTCTGGAATAATACATTTGTCTCTGGGTTGAATCCCACAGCTCATGTTGAACCGTTCTATTCTTGTCCATCTCGACTTGAAACCTGTGCGCATTCTTGTCAAGCCTCAACTTGAACCAACTGTTGGGCTCAATGCTTCTGAGGAGGGCAGGTGTTGAGTGCACTCGAGGCCCGACATCTCTGCCAGGCACAGGCGCTGGCCGAGCTGGCTCAGCCGGTTGAGCCGGGGGTGCAAGTTCAGCAGCAGGAGCTGCTGCTTCAGCAAGTTCAGCAGCAGGAGCTGCTGCTTCAGCAAGTTCAGCAGGAGGAGCTCCTTCAGCAACTTCAGCAGGAGAAGCTCCTTCAGCAACTTCAGCAGCAGGAGCTGCTTCTTCGGCAAGTTCAGCAGGAGGAGCTGCTGCTTCAGCAAGTTCAGCAGGAGGAGCTCCTTCAGCAACTTCAGAAGGAGAAGCTCCTTCAGCAACTTCAGCAGCAGGAGCTGCTTCTTCGGCAAGTTCAGCAGGAGGAGCTGCTTCCTCAGCAAGTTCAGCTGCTGCTTCAGCACGTTCAGTTTCGTTTGCTTCACCTGGAGAAGGATTTGGCAGTGGGTCCTCCACATCTGAATTGACGCAATTGCCTGAATTGACAAAATTGACTTGAGCTTCTTCTTCCTCCAAATCCTCTTCGTCTTCCATCTTCACAGCATCGCTTGCTTCCTTGCCTGGTCGCTCGTCATCTTCTTCAGCTTCCCTCTTCCTTTTTCTTCCGCTACTGCTTGCAGCCCCTTTTCCTGAGCCTCGGCCACTTCTTCCTTTGCCTTTGCTTCTTCCCTTCACCTTCCCTTTGGCTTTGGATTTGCCTTTGCCTTTGGCAGCCTTCTTCTTGGCTTTTTCCTGGAAGTGGAAAAAACGTAGATGCAATAACATGCCTGTCTTGGAAAAAAAATGAAAAATTGAAATGCAGCTGGAACAAACTAGCCAGACCAGCTTAAACATTTTCATCCAAGTTGCTGCTTGCTCCTCCATTTTTTCGTTGAGCAATTTGCGCCACTTCAATTGCTTCTGAGTTTTCTCCTCCCTGTAGACATTCTCCTTGACAGAGCGAAACTCCTTCTGCTCATCCGCGTCCAAGTGGTCAAACACAGCTTTTACCAAAGCTGCTTGATCTGGATCAGATGATGACTTCTTTGTCGTCTTAGAGTCGCACTCCAAGACCAGCTCTGCAAAATCATCTCCGAAATGCAACGCCAGCTTCCAAAGGATGTCCTTCCTAGACTTCTCTTTGATTTCGGAGCCAAAAAGATGCCTCCCCATCAAGCAAAGATCTGTGAATGTCAGGCCATTGGCGCCGCAAGCAATTCTGCGCAAATGTTTCAGGAGGCCCAACCTGTTGCCAGTGGATGCCAAACTCATTGCTCCAGACTAGCTTTGTTTGAAAAGCTGGCATGTTCAGAGAGCATTGCAGCCATTGACAACTTGACGACGAATCCAAAACCCATCGCATCATGCGATAATCATCATCAGCAGCGTCCACAAGCTTCAACGGCCAAGCAAGGGCTTGCCACTTCAAATTGCCCAAAATGAGTAGATAGACAAAATTGACTTCAATCACTTGCCCTTGAAAAGCAAGGCGGTTCAGAAGACCATCCTGACGGGTAATTCAACTGACACAAAAACATTTGCTACACATCATTTTGGTCATTTTCGTCACTTCCCTGGCCTCCAGGCGAACACCTTGGTCAGCAAGCCTTTGCCCGCAGTATTGAATCATCCATTGCCATGCCCCGTATGAGGTTCGAAGCCAATCCTCACTGACAGTGCGCCACATCTTCTTCGTCAGAATCCCTGAGTAGCGAGCTGGTAGACTATGGCTGGATGATTTGAATTCCTGGCGGCAGTTGAAATCATCTCTGGCATCAGGCCACTTGTCCAAGAATTCTTCACGGGTTAGGGCAGCTGGATGGACGATCCCTCTCTTGTCCAAAACCTCAGAGAATTGGCAAACAAGCTGCAACGTAGCTCCAGAGAGCTTCTTGTTGCTGCCTGGGTTCGTGGCCACCCTGCATGCTTGGTGAATGTCCTCAACCACTTTTGAATCCGCAAAGCCACCAATCAGCAGCTTGGCCAGCTCTTGCGCTGCTCCAAAGTCAAAATGACACAAATGACACAAATGACACAAATGACGACAAGGCAAATCGAAGACCGTCTCAATGTCACTGGCAAGCTCTGCTGCAAAAGGAGCCATGCTGCACCGCAAGGATTGAAACCAACGATACTCCTTCAAGAGCCGCATTCTTGTCACCTGTGCTTGCTGGGGATCTAGAAGCCCAACCCATGTCTCAGGTGGAGCTGAGAACTTGGAAAGCGTTGCGCAACGATTCATCAAGCATCCAAGAGCATAGGTATTCACTCTGGCAATGAAGGCCTCCTGGTCAGGCACAAACCGCTCAACATCGGCCCAAGTTTGAGCGCTCCACGATTCAGCAAGGGTCTGGAGAGATTGATGACTCATCCATGACTCGACCATTTCCAAAGATTCAATGATTGCATGCTCTGGGCTTTTGACATCATGGATCTGCTGCGAGTACCACGACCACATTCCATATTGAACTCTGAAGATGATGTGGGCATCTTCCCAATACATCTGTGTCAAACAGCCTTTGAGGCCTAACAAACCAGACTGACCATCAGTGTCAAGATCTGTTGGGAAGTACCACGAGAGGAGCATGAGGGAGCTATGCCATTCTTTCAAATGGACAGCAGCTCCTTCGTTCCAGGAAAACCATCTGCTTGCCTTGGCAAGTCCGCCCTTGAGCCTCCACGATTCCAATTGCTCGGGAATGGAGTCCCAGATCTCCCTGTCGGAGCACCCTTCCATACCAAAATCATTGGCAATTCTCTCTTTCAATGCCTGAAACCATTGGCAGTCCTGAGCTGCTTCAAAACTTGATTTCAAATATGATTTGTTCCAGTAGCCTACATTCGCAAACAAACAAAATCAACAACCAACTTCAACAAAAAAGTGAGATCCAAGCAAATGACCCAGGATCAAAGCTGTTGGATTCAAAGAATGCTTCCAAGATCTGAGTTTTTTCCGTAAACCATTGGCCACTTCCAAAAGGCTTGGTGTTGACGCTGAACAGATACGTTGTTGCCAAAACACAAGATTCTAAGCCAGCTGCTTTGATTGGGTTTTTCAGGTCTCTCAACAGGCGGTGAATCTTGTCGAAGGTGAAGTGGATTTGGAGGCCAGCTTGGGAAGTGACAAAGGCAGCAGCTGCGCAGCCAACTTTGCCTTGGTCCATGATGCAATGCAAACAAGGCAAATCAGACAATTGAATTGACTTAATTGAAACTCCTCTCCATTCAGCACTGCGACATTGTCGTCAAAGAAGAAGTTATCGCCTGGTTGCAGCTCCAACATTTTGAGCAAGACTTCAGGAAATTTAAAATCATCCAAGCAAAGGTCAGTCAACTTGCATATCTGGGCCGAAAGGCCTTGCAAGAACTTCAAGCTGCTAAGCCGTTCAATTTCCCGTCTCGCTGCCAAGCGCTCTGCTTCTGGTGTCAGCTCCATCTCCTGTGGGTGTAACACTTTTGTTGACCTGACGTGAACTGAGCACATGTGAGCCCCTACTCCATTTACAGGGTCATAGGCCAGGCTCATCAGGTAGTCCTTGTTGCTATGAGTTGAGGCATCCGTGACAATGGCGAAGTTCTTCACATTGAAGAAACTTAGCCTTGATGACTGCCTGTACATTGACAACAATTTTCTCTGCCAAACCCACGTCAGTTGCTCACTGATTCCTCCTTGTGGGTCATCTTTTCGCAGAGCACAAATCTTTTGGTATGACACCCCAGTATCCTTGCTTTGCTCAATGACACGCCAGATCTCATGAGGACTCATCTTCCGCAGATTTGCATCGGAGTTCCTGTTTGGCAAGGTTCAAAACCTTTAATTTCCACACCTTCGAGAATTCACACAGGCACAAAACTATTTTACAGTAAACAAAAATGTAATGCATTTTGACTACCACCTAGCCTTCTCACGCGTCTGGATGGCACTGGCTGAGAATCGTCCTGCTGGGTCATCATCTCAAGCACCACATTGTTGACAACCCACGCCACAAACTTGAGAACGCATTGTTGCAGATTTCTCATGCTATCGGTGGAGAAAGGGGGAGGCTGTCGAAACGAATGGGCCGCCTTGTAGGAATGTATAAAATTGACACAAAACATGAGTAAATCCACCAAGGATGGCTCCTCATCATCGTTGCTGGAAATGTCTTCTGTCAGAAGTGGCCCATTGTCTTCCCTGGCCATCCACTTCCACAGTGTAAGCCACAATTGAACCACCTGTTTGTGAACATGTCTTCCGAGCCACAAACGAAAGCCTTGCAACTTCCCTGTAGGCAGAACATGCATAGGAAAGTCACCAACTGAAAACTTCAGCACATCATTGTGGCGACTTGCTTCCTGGGTGACCAGCATGCCAACATCTTTGAAATAGTTTCTCATAGTCAGCGCTTTGGCATCAGTTCTTGTTTTGTTGAGCAAGTCGAGCAAAAAGTGCAAGACAAGCAATGTGCTCACTGCATCAACGGCCAAGCACCCTCGCCTGCACAACAAATGCAGATGATTACTCTTGATTACATAATTGAAACAACCTCTTCAATGTCAAATCATGTCTAACATAGTTCGACCATGATTCATCAAGGACAATTTTGTTTTGGGCAAATTGGCTAGCCTTCTTTCCTTTTTCACATGCAAATCTTCCCTGGACAAGTGTTGCCCTTCACAGCATTGTTCCTGGAGCTCCTTTAACATCTTGTACTTCTGCTTCTTTTCGCCCAAAGCATGAAGGTTGTCATAGACATAGGCAAAGTCCCACATGAAGCCAGCAGGTCCATTGTAGCCAACTTGGCCAAACTTCAGCAATGGGTGATCGCAAGTAAAGGGCTCCAAGTCTGTAGTCAGGGACTGAAAGTCGTCACGCCCTTCCTGACTGTCACTGCCGCCATCATCGAAGTCCATGAGACAAATCACACAATTGACTCAAATTGAACTACCTGAAACTCAAATGATGTCTTACAGATTGGCCATGGTTTAGGTTTGTGATCTCTTACTGATTGTCCATGGTTTGGCACCATTGCTGCACTGCAATTCAAACATCATTTGTTCAAAGCCTGAAGATTGTTTGGTTTGATTGTCATGATTCTTGTTTGGTTGTCTTATGAATCATTATATATAATTTTTTTCAGTTGAAGAAGTCAATTGATCCAAATCTGGCAGGCACATACCAACTCACCAATGTGCGAACAGCAATGAATGACTTCCGGCAGTCTTGACAGTTCAACTTCACCATCATCATTGCACAAGTGTAAAAAAATCAGAAAGTCAGTGAAGTTCCAGCCTTCTCACTCCACAACGAAGCCTGCAGAAAAGTAAGCTACAGAAACAACACAAGTAAAAAAAGGAGCTCCAGCACAAGCTTTTAACGATTCAATGAAAGCAGCTTGCAATAGCAATAGCATAACAATGCATTTTCCCCATCATCTCTTCCAATGGAGCTTCAGACCAACGCCTTTGCTGCTGGCAAACCACAATTGCAACTCACACACCTCAATTGATGGCAATTGACACAAATGAATTGCGTCAAAGCTAAAGTGGTCCGGCATTTAGCTGACTCCACTGCAGAGAGAATCCCCCCAAATGAGACAAACTTCAATAAAATTCGATGATGGCCAGCCAATGGTTCAAAAAAAAATGAGATTATACTATAGACAACTCATAAACAACTCTGCTGCAACTTAAAGTTTCCTCACTGGCTTGACCAAGCCATCTGCCAACTAGATTGGGCCATTGGGCCAAGTTCAGCCATCCGATCATCTGCCAGTCACTCACTCAGACTCACATGAAGTCCACAACCTCGAAGTCATCCGCTCCTCGAACAGCTCGATCACCAGCTGGGGGCGTGATCTGGCAACGGAGAGGGCAACGCTCTTCGAAGTTGGATGTTGCTGTGTACCAGCCCTCCATACAAGAAAGATGATATGTGTGGCCGCACCCAAGTGTCTTCATCGCGCCATTGGTCATCTCCTGCTGGCAAATCAGACAAATGGGTGCGCCATCTCCATCTGCAGCTGGCACAGTCACAGCTGCTGCCTCAGCAGCTGGGCTAGGCTCGACAGCCGGGTCCACAGCTGGGCTAGGCTCAGCTCCCTGGGCATCTCCATTTGGGCTAGGCTCAGCTGGTGGAGTGGCATCTCTCACAGCTGCCTCAGCAGCTGGGCGGGCTGGAGCTGGCGGAGCAGCTGCCTCAGCAGCTGGGCTGGCTGGAGCTGGCGGAGCAGCTTTGCTTGTTGTCACAGCAATTGGGGCAATTGACGCAATTGACGAATTGCGCGCAGGGGGGTGAGACAACGCCGGCACAGGTGCTGCAGCCGGACGCCTGCCTGCAAAGAACTCAGCAACACTGGGCGGAGGAGCCTTTGCACAAGAAACAGGCTTCAGGAACTCATCTTTCCATCCCTGAGCAACAGCCACATCATTGACCTCGGCATCCCCCAAGACCAACGGAAGCTCCTGGACGATGTTGTCAGGAAACCCTTCGCAGGAATCCTTGATCCTGTCATGGGCCTTCTTGAACCTGTTGCCAAGATCATCATACGAGGTCACACCTGGGCGATTGATGGTGAGATGGGTACAATAACCTTTGACTGATGTTGAAGAATCTCTATCATTGTATATTTTACATTATTAATATATAAATGTATATAAACATTTCATTGTTATTGGATGACATTATCTGTGGCTGCAAAGACACAACAACTCAACACAACATGGCCAAACAGGGACAATCTAATGAACTACACAAACAACAACTAAAGTATTAATAATCGTAATCTAAAACAACAACACTGATTGATTCTCACCAAATCACGAAGATTCGAAATCTTGAGAGATGGCTTTAACTTCGTGATGATCCAGAGAAGCTGAAGAAGACCTCGCTGGGTGAGGCCACTGGTGTAGCCGGCATCCAGGGCTGGCACCAACTTCTCAATGGCATAGGAAAGTCTTGTCATGGGAATGCCTGACAACCACAGGAAGCAGACCATATGACCATTCATGAAATGAACATTGCACAATTTTATCTTGCAAACATTTTACCATTTTCCCACTAGCATGGTAACTAAAACAAACATATGATCATCATATCAACATAAATTAAAAAACATAGGATCATCATATCAACATAACATAGGATCATCATATCATCATAACTTAAATTGAATCAAACATAGGATCATCATATCAACATAACTTAAAACAAAAATAGGATCATCATATCAACATAACATAGGATCATCACATCAACATAACTTAAATTCAATCAAACATAGGATCATCATATCAACATAACTTAAAACAAAAATATGATCATCATATCAACATAACATAGGATCATCATATCAACATAATTTAAAACAAACATAGGATCATCATATCAACATAACTTAAAACAAAAATAGGATCATCATATCAACATAACATAGGATCATCATATCAACAAAACTTAAAACAAACATAGGATCATCATATCAACATCGGTTACATACATGTCCCACCCCAGGCCTCTGATCATACTTGCAGACCTTGTGATGGCAGCATCATCACTCTTGTTGTAAGGGAGCACAGGCGGCGGCTGGTGCTCAGGCTGAGCAGGGACAGGCACAGCAGGAGCCACAGGCTGCGCAACCACAGAGGCCGAAGCAGCAGCAGGCTGAGGAGGAGGAGCATCTTGGACTGCACCAACATCATCATAATCATGGACTTCTTCCTCAGCATCTTCCCCAGCCGCAACATCTTCCATCATTCGACGCATGGCTGCTGGGTTCATCATTCCACCCATCATTCCATTCATGGGTCCCATCATTCCATTGCAGCCACCCATCAACATAGGCGCCATGCCACCTCCCATCATGGGATTCATCATTCCACCCATCATGGGATTCATCATCATGGGATTCATCATGTGTTCCATCATCTGGGGCAAAGTGCGTTGTCTCTTGGAAGCTCGGTTCACAGGGGCAGCTGGCATGATGATCCAATTGACTCAATTGTGTCAAATGTGATGGCTACAATTGCTTGACTCACTCAATTGCTGCAGCATGATTTGCAACGTTATTGATTTAACTACATTGGTATTATGTATCGTGTTGATTCTATCACCTATTAGAGATGCCCAAAACTCCCTACAAATTAATCTCCCCACAAGCTGGTCGCCATTCCGAAGTTTGTGAACCTAATCATGATTTGCACCCAAAACTCCCTACAAATTAATCTCCCCACAAGCTGGTCGCCATTCCGAAGTTTGTGAACCTAATCATGATTTGCACACCATACAACGTTATTGATGTAACTACATTATTATCATGCATCGTGTTGATTCTATCACCTAATATGTCTCAATATGTCTCAAAATGTCTCAAAATCACCTCAAAATTTCTCAAAATTGCATTTTGAGACATTTTGAGACATTTTGAGCATTTTTGAGCAATTTTGAGCCATTTTGAGTCATTTTGAGCAATTTTGAGCAATTTTGAGCAGATTTTTTGGGCAGGTATAAGTACTTTTTAAGCAATTTTGAGCAGATTTTTTGGGTAGGTATAAGTACTTTTTAAGTACTTTTGAGCAATTTTGAACAATTTTGAGCAATTTTGAGCAATTTTGAGCAATTTTGAGCAATTTTGAGCAATTTTGAGCGATTTTGAGCGATTTTGAGCGATTTTGAGCGATTTTGAGCAATTTTGAGCAATTTTGAGCAATTTTGAGCAATTTTGAGCAATTTTGAGCAGATTTTGTGGGCAGGTATTTTGAGCAATTTTGAGCAGATTTTGTGGGCAGGTATTTTGGGCAATTTTGAGCAGATTTTTGTGGGCAGATATAAGTACTTTTAAACAATTTTGAACAATTTTGAACCATTTTGAGCATTTTTTAGCATTTTTTTTTGGGCAGGTATAAGTACTTTTAAACAATTTTGAGCAATTTTGAACCATTTTGAGCATTTTTTAGCATTTTTTTTGGGCAGATATAAGTCCTTTTAAATAAGTTTGAGCAATTTGGAGCAATTTTGAGCAGATTTTTGTGGACGGGAATAAGTATTGTTTAAACAATTTTGATCAATTTTGAGAAATTGATACAAGTATTCATAGTTTTTAATATTCATCTCCATGCACTTGACATTATGTTTTCATATCTAAATTTAAATATATTGGTAAGTATATTATTGTGTAAGTATATGGGTGAATATTGACTTATCTAGTGGATATGAAAATTAATCTCAATAGAGCCATCTTAGATATGACTGTGCACTGTTGATTCATCTAGTGGATATGCAAATGAATATCAATAGAGTCATCTAAGATTTGACTTTGCACTATTGATTCATCTAGTGGATTTGAAAATGAATATCAAAAGAGTCATCTAAGATATGACTATGCACGGTTGGTTCATCTAGTTAGTAGATATGAAAATGAATCTCAACAGGACTATGCACTTTTGATTTATCTAGTAAATATGAAGTTGAATCTCAATAGATTCATCTAAGATATGAGTATGCATGCACGTTTGGCTCATCTAGTGGATATGAAAATGAATCTCAACAGAGTCATCTAAGATATGAATATGCACTGTTGATTTATCTAGTACGTATGTATGAATATGAATCTCAATAAACTCATCTAAGATATGCTTTTGATTTATCTAGTACGTTTGAATATAAATGAATCTCAATGCAACTGGCTGTGAATCAAAGTGAATCAAAGTGAATGACACAAATTCCAATTGATCCAATTGATTGAAACTGACCAAATTGAAAAGAAACAATTTCAATGAACTGGATCAATTTCACTGACAAGAAGCAATTGACACAATTGAATCAATTGATGCAACATGACAATGGAAAACAAATTGACTGACTCCCAGAAACCAGGCCTGCTTGTCCAAGAGCACCCCCAAGACCAATCGATCCA